ATTTAAACAATTTTTCGTCAGTCTTTTTCTTTCCAATCCCTCATTCAGTTGCTCACATGCTCCTCTTCTTTGCGGCATTATATGTAAATTATGTAGGCAGTCTGAAATGTGCACACAAAACTGGAGTACAAAGCGCAATGTACTATTTTTTAAATGTTTTAATGTAGACTACATTTTTGGTGCGCTCCATTTCTTTCATCTACTGTTCTAACTTCGTGCTTTGCATTTTGCGCAAATACTTCAAATCTTTTGGAAGGGAACGTACTTCTACACCATGTTTCATGTGATAAATTATTTCCATTACCACATTCGTGAGAAATTGTCTAGAGCTATCTGCTGAATTATTTGCTTTGAAAATCAAAAGAGGTTTTCCTTGTTGCAATGCCATTCATTCTAAAATGTAGGGAAAATCTTGTTTTCAGACAGTCGAGGTGAGTAACACCAATCGCCTTAAAGTGATCTGCTACCATAACATTTATGTTCGATTTTGATCTAGTGATATTCCACAAAATTGAACCACATTATACAAAAAGTCTTGAGCGACGTCATCGGGCAGTTTGTTAAACTATTCTCTTGAAGTCAGTCGATACAGGTTTTTGTGCTTTTAATGCAACATTTTATTAGAAAAATATCTACAAATTAATAACCATTGAAAGAAGTTGTTGAATAGAGTTGATTGTGAATTAATTTTTCCACCATTTATGTTGAAATTTTTTTAAATAACCGTTATTTTCAAATTTAGGAACAAAATAAGCCCAGGTTGAAATCAGTCCTTCCGAACCATCTCAGCTGTGCTCCTCTACATAATCCCGACAGCTAGTTGAACTAGCTTTCCTTTGGGTATAATAAACTCGAAACCTGTATGGTTAAAATATCTCTAATGTGATTTATGCGAGGCCACTGTATATTTAACCAATTAAATACCTTTTCTAACCATTTAACTTAAATTTAAAGATGAAATAACTTTACAGTTGGCGACAACATTTACTATTATAACAGCTACAAATATACAATTGATCAAAACTCACTAATTGTATTAAAATGTGTAAACAAACTCTCTCTACAAAAACATTTTAGGAGCATTGACTAAGTTAATCAACATTAGCAGTTAATCTCACTCTACCCTACAAGTATTACGAAAACGAGTACGTTCCATGCGTCATCAAGACGCGAGTGATCCTTCTTACAACCATTCTAGAGGATTAAAAGAGTAAGTCAAAGGAGGGACAAAATGTTAATCTGTCAGTGTGGGGATTTTTAAAAAAATGTTAGTCCTACAAGCATATGAAAGCTCTGAAAGCAGATTTACGTTTTCAGACCTTTAGAATCACGTATTTGTTAGACCTAAAGAAAACTATTAGTTCTTTTTAATCATCTGGTGTTTTAGGTCACTGCGTTGTATATATTTTTGGCTTATGTTCTTTCAACCTAGCATTCTAGCACCGTGCTCCGAGCGCGGCGTGCGGGGGAGGGGGCGCGCGCGAGCTGTGGAGGCGGGCCCCACGGGGCGTGAAATGAAACCTTGCGACGAACTGCAGCGCCCGTGCTGCCGCCCAACGTCCCGTGCTGCCGTCCCAGCGCCGCTGTGCTAGCACACGCATTCATCTCAGCGGCATCTCATCCCACAAGCGCTCCGACAGGAATTTTTTCGTCGATGTAACTTATTTTTAAAATGCTGCCCTGGATATTTGTGGCTTTTGCTTTAAAAAAATTGATTTCGTACACGTCAATATTACCGCGATATCTTGAATATTGAATGTCATTTAAAGAGAAATAAATTTTACTAACAAACTAACATCTTTTTCGTCTACCTGGCGATGTACCGAAGAACAAGCGATCACTGGGGTACACTCCCCTTCATTTAACGAAAAAATAACTAAATTTGGCGGAGTAGGAATCTCAAACTACTTTTTAAATACAATTATTTTTCAAAAAGTAGTTTGAGCATTCTACTTCGCGATATTTAGTTATTTTTTGAAGTGTTTAAAAATACTTAGATAACTTGAAACCACTTCTTCTGCTTTCTTGACCAAGAACGCCCTTGCCACAAGAAGAGAAATTAGGAAGAATGTAGTGAGTGTAGGTAACAAAAGCTTCCGTACGTCTCAAACACTCAGATTTCTATTTTCTTTTCATAAAAACATATTTACATAAAATATGGTGAATCTACCCGGCACTATTCCTGTATTAATAATCTTTTTATGCAAGACCATGCTACATGCAGTTTCGATACTTATCATTTGCACCCACCTTGAGAGTCACACGAGCCACATATGAAAAATGACACTGCTGTTAACATTGGCGATTCCTCGCCAAGCTTGGCAATGCTCTAGTTTTTAATATTCTATGTGCACCAACAATTTTTCGAAAGAAACGAGAACCACACTGAATAATGTAAACACTATTTCGGATCGCAGCAGTTTATATCGGGCAAATGGAATTGATGAAATATCGCAACAATTGTAGTGCAAATAGCGCAATTTTAGACTGGGACAAACAGTGGGTCGAAGGTATTTCCATTCCTTTCTTTAAAAAAATCAGGCTACATTACTGCCCTGCAAGGTTCAATGAACGCACAGCGATGAGTCTGCTTCCATTTCCGGTCTGACGCGAGTAAGAAATTAGTGTTCAGGAGAAAATAATTAACGTATTTTTCGCAGGCAGTTTTTTTTTGTTTCGCGTATATGTACGTATGTTTGGAATAATAATATACATATAATAAAGAAAGTTATTCAATGCTGCGATGAAAAGGGCCATTTTTTGACAACTTGTCTCCTTAATAACGTAAAATATTTTCTTGCTTCTTTATGAAGTAAATTATTTTTTAAGACGGTCAATATCAAAAGTGGGTCTTTAATGACATGCATAACGTGCCCAAAGTATAATGTGTTAGTGCTAAAACTGACTCGATGCTCAAGTGTTCAGATGACTATGATTGCAAGAAAGAAAGCAATTTACGTTCAGTCTTCTGACGTCATCAGCTATTCCTGCCCTTCTGCTCTTAGTGATTTGAATTTTAAATTAATATAAAATGAAAGGCAGTTAGACTGTCTCAAAATAGCGCATGGCACACGTGGTAAAAGTGATTTCATTTTCTAAATACATTTGAGCCATTCGGTCTAACAGTCTCGTGTCGCAACATTGCCAACTCGCAAAATAATATGACACTTTTACCACTCGTATCATAAATAGCAATTTCTCGGCCATTAGCTGCGAAACCCACGTTTCTCTAATACTAAAAAAGCGGTTTCCCAAAACATCTGCGTATCAGACGTTCGTCCGTCCGTGAACAACACTACCGTCCACTTGGCAAGAACTAAAAAGGGAGCGAATTACCTGGAAAATGCGATAAAAACCTTGTATTTATCCAGGAACTAGCTAAAATCCCGAGTTTTCGACCTCCCACTCCACATATTAAATAGGAATGCTCCGAAAAAAGTATTTTTTCTAACTTTTTTCGGATTTATCTCTATCATTGTTTGACTTCAAATGCTGTAATAGTAATTTATATTATAAGACACTAACGTCTACCTTTCCATCCAGGAGAGTTAACCCGCCGACGCCGAGAGGACGAGACGGCTAATCCTGTGGAAACATGAAGAGGGACTTCTGTCGTATGATGTGCAATATTTTATCCAAGACCATTTTATGCACGTTTCCTGCAATTTAATAACATCACCGATATGAAACGGTGTTATCACTATCGTTTGTTTTGTTAAAATGGTCACATACTTGTTGACCGTTGTTCTTGTGTTTTTTTAATTGAAACTAAAATGTCAGGTTCTATATGTAATGGTTATTGAAATTGAAGATAGTTTGAAAAGAAATTACACCCGATTAGTGTTTGAAGATGCAAGACCTTTTAACGTTTCCATTAAAATCAATAGATGGATATAGTGACCTTCCTTTGGTTAATTAGCTCAGCCGGTACATTTTGTACAAGGATAGGCCATACATTCTTATATCTAAATTCTTGACGTCGGTTCTCTGCACTATCTTTACAACCAATTATTAAAATTAAACTTTCAAACTATTCTATAATCTTAAATTCAATACACAAGAAATTAAAAAAAAATATAAGTTCACAATTAATCCGTCTGTTATACATTTAAGTTAATGCACACAAAATATCCATCAAAATTCTACTTGGTATTCATTTACAAAAGAAATCTAATCTCTGAACACAGTACTTACTCCATAAAAAGTAACAAACACGCACAGTTCTGTTTCATTCTCTAATTCTTCAATTCTTAAATTAAATTTACTTCACTTGCACTCGTCTCTCGGATCCAATAATAACACTTTCCAAGAAAAGCTACAATTATTTGAATCATTGAATCTCGCAATAAATAACCTCATATACAATCCCCCTACGCAATTCAAATTACAATTACAATTACTCACAGTCCAATAAAAGCTTTAAACTCTCTTTCTCAAAATCACAATCATACATTTGATAACGGCTTTGCTGTTCTTTAATCTCTCCGCATTCATACTGTAATTAGAATAACTTTGCCTAACTGATTTGCTCTATCCAAGTATAGGTTATTTACTAGCTTCATGGATAAAGAGAGATTGATTATATTTTTTCCAATTACGTCCCATCTAGTTAAACATTTGAATACATTTGATTAACTGGCGAGAGTCCTTAATAGCAAAGCTTTAGGAAGTAGTTCCCTCTTCTTTCTTCACGCCTGTTGTCGAAATTACAATTTTTAGTTATTCCATCCACATCAATACTCTAAATGATAATGCCGAGACGGTTTCATACGTACCCATGGACTAAATAACTACACTATAAACTGAAAGAAGAAGGGAAGAGACATGTACACGTGTTCCTATTCTCTTCTACCAATGCCTACACCCATCCACGACCTCGCCTCGCAACCTATGTTAGACGTTACTCCTACTCCTTTCGTAATAACTTCCTCTCACTTAATTAATGAATATTTATCACTTTCGCAATAACTTCCTCTCACTTAATTAATGAATCTAATTACCTCCTTTCATCTGAAGTGGTAAATCTCGCTTTTTGAAATATTTGGGCGACCACGTGGCATAGGATCGTAGTTTGTCCATCTACTCATGGCGCCTACCTTCACCGAAAAGAACTCTTTCGTTCCTCGGGGAGCCATTCGTAACGATGAGCGACCCTAGCGAACTCTACCTGCCAATTTCCTTACTGCCTATCCGCGTAGTGCGCGCATTCCAAATTGAGAAGACAGCAGTAAAATGTGACTAGTTTTTTTGCTCTTAGGAAAACCGGTGGTCACAATATATGAAAGAATATAGAGAATTTTGTAAGAACCGAAATGCGAGAGGGTTAAGAAGTGCTACAGAAAACACGCTTCTCCCATTATTTTAGGAAATGAGTGCAAGGTAACGTCGTGCAACTGTTTAATAGATTGTTTAGTTATAACTGTATTGGTTATTTTTAAAACCCCGCATGTTAGGAGTTGAAAAGTTGGGGGAAAAAAGAATAAGGACATAGAGCATTTTCTGTGTTTTTTTTATTCCCAATGCATAAATCTTTATTTAGAATGCTGTGGAGAGATGTAATTTACTTGTATGAATACGATGTCGCTGGACTTATTTCAAAGTTTATGACTAACGGGATTATAAAACCAATCAGAATGTTTTTACTCAAACATGTAAATGAATACATAGTGCATATTCAGTTTGTAATTTGACACATTTATTACAACATTATGCGAAATTAAAATATGCACCTACATCAAACGTGATTCATATATAACAGAAACTGTTGCTTGGAATGTGTTTCTATGATAGAACATAGGAATATTTCCGTACTGAGCATCCCTTTTAACCAATATCTGTCAGTCATATCCCAGGCATACATTCCCCGCAAGTCAATGACGTTGCAGGGTCCTGATGATCATTCTATTTATCTGACTTACACATGGAATAGCGCAATCTCTGGCACATTTTTTAGGGAACTGTTCCTGCATTCTCCTTATATCTCATATCAGAGAATTAGGGAAAATTTTACTTCCAGCGAAGTCACATTAGCCGGCTGCTCTGATCACCAATTTTCCTTACTAATATACGATTCAAATATGGTGAATGTAATACTTTCTTCTTTCGAAGGATGGACCAAACGAAGTATACATAAACTTATGTTATGATGGGCAATATCGACTTCGATATTTTACCTCATGAAACGTGTCATCTGCAAGTTTGAGAAGTGTCGGAATTTTTAACTTTGACAAATCAAGGGGCGTTTGAAGCAATTTTGATGAAATAGATGGAACTATTAAACATTGCACTCAAGTTTCCCAACCATTAAAACGAGATTTGATAGTTACATTCACTTCCCCATTCGAGCCTGATTTTAGATAATTAACTGAATGTATCAAATAGAGACACTTTGTTCTTTGAATATTTAGTAATTGAACGAGTGCTTCCGTTATAAAACAAATTTCACTGCCCGAGTCCAGCAATGCTCTGACTGGTATATCATTACCCATTTTGTCAGTGACTAAAATTAAAGCTGTTGGCAATAAGGCCCGGAATGTCTTTGTTTCACCAAAGGCCATATGAGAGAAAATTTCTCAGCCTATCGTGCTTTCGTACTAACCATAGAGCATTCTCCTTTATGTGAGGAAGATTGAGATTGTACATTAATCAGATTTCCAACATCAGATTTTGAGGTTATGTTTGATTTCACTACCTGTTTTTTATGATTTGGGTCATGCAAAAGAGAATGATGTTTCAGATTACATATCCTGCAAATCTTGCTGCTACAGGGGTGGTCTTTGACTGCTTTGAACAAACAATTTATGCACAAAGAACCTTTTCGACACAACTGTAATCTTTCTTGCATCGTTAACTGCTGAAAGTGCACGCAATTAAACAACGGGTGTTTCTCTGGACACAAGATACACTGTCTGGAATCGCTTACATTTATAGCCAACGCCCTGAGGTTACACTCTGATGAGAATTTCCAACTGCAACAGAATTTTATTGTGATTTCTTAGAAATATCTTAATTACATTCCTATGCATTTGCCCTATGGTTTAAGAAATCTAATAATTCTTGTAATCTTTGCATTCTTTGTGCTCTTTGAGTCTTTGCTAAGATACCATGATTCCCTAGTTATAAAGTCTAGTTTAGAGAGTATTAAATGTTGCAAGATTATTTCGCTTAGATCTACATCGAGTGATATCGATTTCAGTCCACTTTGTGGAGATTTGAGAAATGAATTGTTTAAGAGAAGATGAACCTCTTTTTGTTTGTGGTAAATTGAGTAAAGCTTTGATATGAGTGTCTATTATCTTGGTTTTATTTGAATTCCTGTCGACTAATAATTCCCAAGCTCTGCCAAAGTTATCTCCTGACACATTCAAGGCGCTAAGAAGCATATACGGTTCCCCCCTTAAATGTTAAAGCAGATGCACATATTTTTCAATATTGCTCAGTGAATCATTTTTCACTACTGCCGTTATGAAGATATCATAAAATTGCATAAACTTGTCGTACTTGCCTGAGAATGTTGGCAATTTCACGTGTGGTAAGCTTCCCATAGGACTTGGCTTAATGATATGTATTTTTCTGATAATTTGGCCAATTCAGAAAGACATTGCTTTTAAAATGTATGTATCTGCTTTCGAAATTCTCAAACGAGGGGGTTAAATCATCTAAACCCTCTTGTTTGATAGCTTCGTCAACTGTAAATCTGATATTCTTCCATAATTCTCCACCCCTGTCCAACAAATATTCTAAATTTGGTCTGCAAAGATCTGAGAGAGAATTTAGATTCTCTTCGATTCTTGTCAATCCTGAATCTAAATATTGCCATTTCGATAAGATCTGCCGTCTTTTAACAGGCATTTTTTGGACTCGCAATTTATGAAATGCTTAAGCTACTTATCTATACACAAAGCATTGATTTTTGGCTTCTTTAGAAAGAATAAAAACGTTTGAAAGAACCACTATTAAAATATGCACACAAACTGAACTTAACACTTAACACAAAGTTTTTTCAGACACACTACCACAACTTATTGTTCCCGTGTTTGTTACGGCACCAATGTTAAGGCGGCGAAATACTCGAAGAAAACGTTGGGAGAGCAATTAGTAGAAGCTGCAATGAAACATCGCCTCTTCAATCAGTAGTTTTTTTGTCAGACAAGAGTGTTCTAGAAAAGAGACGACACACAATTGACAAAGATTGTTACTTGTAGAAAGATTAAACGAATATTGAAGACATTGTCTGTCCAAACGAAATAAAACCTTTCCTTACGAATTTCGTTTTTACTTATGTTACAACTGCATCCAGTGTCTGGCACACCCCGAATCGAACCTTTAAGGCATTCAAAACGTTTTTACTAAGCTTTCTGCACCTCGCCTCTGATGACAATGCGAGCTCGTGGCGCCTAAGATGGAAATCGCTGATTCTCGAATATTTTGACAATCGTCCATATGGTTTGAGCGACGAGCTGCCCAGGAGCTGATGCGATCTTTTGGTGATCCTCCGAACTATCAGGAAGCAGCTGACAATCTACGTCAAGAAACTTTGCACGAAAGAAATGAGTATTTGGTCAACAGAGAAGAAATTCGCGCGTCTGTTTTGAGAAAAATTAAGACTCTGAAGCGCCAAGTTTGAAATATATAATCCTTTCCTCTGAAACGCCTTCGAAGGACATGAAAAATGCCCTATTAAAAAACAAGGCGCCACGTTTGAAGCAATTTGATGGTCAATGTGCCAAGACCGCAAATGCATGTTTTTCAGGTCTTCAGATTCCGGAAAAAATGTCTTTTTCCTTTGTTGCCTTACTTCCTACGAAGAGAAAGTGTTTTACCGAATACGTGGATTTTTTGACAAAAACTTATTTAAGAACCCTGGTAACAAAAAATAGTAGTTAAATCATGAATCTATACATAGTAAATTACGTCCTCCAATACGTGCAATCAGAATCCATGTTTTGTGGTTCATTGGCATCGAAAAATGCCAACGTCATACTAAAACGTATGTCTATCCGTTTGTCGATACTCAACGGTAGCATCTAAGCTTTTCAGTCAATGTTTTCCAAAATTGATATTCAGCAATCGATGTGAATGAACTCTAAGCATAGCGAGTTGGAAGTGAGAAGTTTTTGATTTTTGAGGGTACTTTACATGAAGCCTGAAGAACATTTTCAAAACTTTCTCAAAAATGGCTCGAAAGTTTTTGATTTAATTTTGTTCTCGGATAGTGTAAAACACCATTAAGAGAATGGTGCAATTCTCACGTTTGTTAAAATTATTGACTTTTCGAGAATAGCGAGGTGTTATTTTTTAGGCGGCTTGCTGCAACCACAATCTTGTTTGTATTTCTTCGATCTCGAAGAAATACGTTTTTACTTAATGAAATCTGTTCTTTAAAGATATAGCTTGAAATAAGGTCATGTGTTTGCAAAATTATATTATTTACAATAAAAACCTGTTACGAAAAGCCAAGTTTTAAAAACAGGTTTCAAAAACGTGTTACAAACATTTTATCGGCCCAATGAAGAGACACGAAGAACTTTTTATTAACATAATTGTTTTTAAAATAAAGATCAAAGAACACATTACAACTGGCGATAACGTGTCTCAATCCTCAAACACGTGACATACGAAGACTCAACGATCCAACACCGGCGCTGTGACTGGTGAGCTCCGGGCCGCCAGCGTCCGGCGCCGCGCGGGCGCGTCGCGTGGAGGGCGTGTTGTTTGGTGGCGGCCGCCCGGCGAGGCGCTTGGCGAGGAGATTAGGGGCCCGCGCGGGGCTCACAGGGGTCGCTGGAGATGATCCCCGCGCGGTGAGCGACGGCCCGGGCGCCGCGGCCGTGTCGCTGTCGCGCCGCCCCGGGTGATGGATGGCGCCGCTGCGCACGCAGACCCGGGCTTCTGTTGCCGCCGCCCTGCTGCCACTCAGCCCGTCGTCCCCGCAATGAGGGAGTAGGTAGTGGTGGTAGAGTTGTATTTGTGTTTAGCCTTTATATGGCCCGTAAAGGGTAACTGGCCTCGGCGCGGAACCTAGAATTTGCTTAACCTTCGTGACTTCACGTAGTTAACGCCTTGGGTGGCGAGGGGCC